CTTTATGAGATCAGAGTTACAACTAGAATGGGACTGCAAAGGTTGGAAGTTGCCTAAAAGCTTTTTCTGCAGAAGAATATGAAAATAAGAAAAGCAGTTCTTTGGTGGACTGCTCAGCTTGGATACTATAAATATGCATTTCCCATTTAAATGGTAACATCCAGAGTTTAGACACATGCTCCATTTAAAATATTCATTTTTGATGTATCAAAAAGAAAAAAAGCGCAATAAAAACAGTTCAGAGTCCTCCTCTTCCCAAAAATAATGCCTCCTCCACCTCAAAAATAGAATGCCAAGAGACCCTGATCTGCAGAAGAGTTAAATTTGGCTCTAACACTTAATAAAGATTCCTGCTTTGCATTAGTGACGCCCAGTCTTCTTGAATCTAAGTGATATTAAAAATTGTTATATAACATCTAGCTTTTATGCATTTTGTTACAAGAGTAGCCACAGTTTTCTTTAAGGTTCTTAACAGTAAGCTATTTTTTGTGGTATCAGACATTCAAACAAATGACCTAAGGGCCAACAAGTCTTGTCAAAATACTTGCAGATATTGTGAATCTGCTTTTCCGCTCTTTTAAAAAGGCAGATGCAGATTAGAAATACATTCTACTATTTTCTTTGAGACTCTAGCAGGAGTCTCTGAACACAACTTGATTATCACTGTGTGAGGAGCTCCTTTTATGTGAACCATGCTCCTTTAAGAGGTTTGAGGTTCAACGCTCAAAAACTCTACTTTGCGCTTCTGGAAAACTCATCTTCCATTTGGTCTCCTGTGATGTCCAGAAGTGCAAAAGCTGTTCTGCAAAATTCAAGCCTGATTTCAGTGCAATCACCTCAAATAAACATTTCTGAGTTTCCTTTAAATTCTGTGCAATTACTACAATAGGAATCAGGAAAGTGTACATACTACTATTTTTTATAATTTTTTTTTAAAGTCAGGAACTCTAAAGCTCAGTTATCCAAGGAGACAGGAACTGTTATGATTAAGGATTCTGTTTGCAGAGTCATGTCGGGTAGATTCTAAAATATTCTATACTAATAATAACTTTGCATGCTTATATTATTATTTGATTATGACTGATCTGTCAGATTATCATATTCTGATCTTTAAAAAGTAGCACTCTTTCTTTTGTCTGAATTAAATAAACCTTATCCACACAGCTTTGCTGTAAAAGATGCTTTGTCTTTCTCAGTCAGGGAGGTTAGGAGGACAAAAGCTGTGTTATTTCCAATCAGGCTCAAGACAGACAGGATCTACATCTAAGCTGCTTCACAAATCAATCAGGAATTGCTATCAGAGGTAATGTCTCTGTGGAGGCTATTTCATGGCGTAGGCTTTAAATAAAGTCGTCTAGATGTGCAGATCAGCAAACAGTCTGCAGCTATGACTCACTGGATGACTTTCTCCTCTTTTTGTGCACCAGGAATACCTGGCCTTTGCGCACGCTACTGGTCTGAGAGAGAGAGAAGACTTCTTGCCATTCTATCCCCCTTCCTCCATTTATGTCTCCCATGAAGGTTTAGGCACATATCAATCCGCCTAAAACCCCTCAGACATCTGATATGCAAATAAGATAGAGCCATGTTCCTTCATGTATTTATATATATGCCTGTGTGCGCGTGCATGCATGTATATGCATGTGCATATATATGCGTGTGTGTGTACATATATACATATACATATATAAAGACCTACATGTTACTTAAATTGAGCAAGGAACGATTTTTGAAAGTTGCAGTCATCTTTCTAATGCAACAAGTTACTTCGTTAACATATTCCTTACAGAGCTTATTGCACAGCCCAGCAAATTAGAAGAACAGAAACATTTCCGTGACTGGGTGAACTTCCATGTTGTTTTTGCATCTAAACGCTGAATTAAATGTGGTAGCTAAAGACCTGGGACACAGCCACAGTCATTTCATTTTAATAAATGTTCATTAAAGTTGTAATTAACGAGGGCAGTTTTAGAGCTACCTGGAACTGGAAGGTGTTCAGGACAGTCCCAAGTAAATTAACCTACTAAAAATATTTTAGAAGACTGAGATGTGATCTCATCAACGTGTGTAAGTATCTGAAGGGGGAGTGTCAAGAGGATGAGGCCAGCCTCTTCTCCGTGGTGCCCAGCAACAGGACAAGAGGCAACGGGCAGAAACTGAACCACAGGAAGTTCCATCTGAACCTGAGAAAAAACTTCTTTGCTGTGAGGGTGACAGAGCACTGGAACAGGTTGCCCAGAGAGGTTGGGGAGTCTCCTTCCCTGGAGATATTCAAAACCCGTCTGGATGTGATCCTGGGCAATATGCTCTAGGTGACCCCGCTTGAGCAGGGAGGTTGGACTAGATGATCTCCAGAGGTCCCTTCCAACCTAAACCATTCTGTGATTCTGTAAAATTATTTTTTCACTTAATTGTTTGGGATCTTAATATTTCTCCCCACTTGTATCCTTCCAAGTAGGAAAAATCTGCCCACTAACAAAAAAGGAAGTGGCAACATCTAGAATTGAACAAAGTGCACACAATGTCCAATCCTATCTCAAGCATTTTTATATCTTCTCATTAGCCTACAAAAAGTCTCCACTGAAGTGGTTCACAGATCATAATTTTCACCTTTTTTTGCCATAAGATTATAAATCAATTCCATTCAGAAAAAGTTATTCTGTCTTGGATGGGTAATGTTATAAGTAGTTCAACTGTAGAAGAAGGGATCTCCAGAACCATAGTATATCCTATGGGTATAATTCTATGGAGGAGTCGAAGAATTTTGTCCTCACTGATTTACAGCCCTCCAGCAGCACAGTTCATCTTGAAGTTAGTTTTACTGCTCAATCTGAAGTCGATTACTTAGCAGCAGTTGCCAAGATACAAAGAAAGCAACAAAGTCTGAAATGACACAGATCTCTTCTTCCTGCCTTGAAGTTGCTCATTTTCCCAAGCTTAGTCGCAGTTTAACAGCAGCTATTTGAGTGCAGCTTTTACAGTGTTAGAACAGGTTAGTAATGAGTTTTGAGAACACAGCAGTATGGATTTTACACTCGTTTGTTTACATCTTCAGCCACTCAAGGAATTTTAAAACCCATAACCTGGACTAACACCATAAGACTAACACCATACCCTTGACATAATATTGTCAAGGGTATTCTGGACACTCAAAGGTGATGGCCTCCACAGGCTTCCTGGCTATTCTCCTAGCTGTGTCAAATATCATTTACCCATGTGTTACTATATGGTAAATAACGTTGCACCTCAAACTCTGCTTTCGTGGGGGAAATGAAAGTAGCGCACAAAACGTGCAGGGAGAGTGGGTAGCAGGTATAGTCAAGTGTTATGTCGTTATGTAGCTGGAATAATCAGGTATTGCTGCCTACTCAGATCTGTTGTGGAACGCCAGTAGCACATTCAGTTGGTCTCAGAAACGTTCTGTTTAGCCACAAAAACTTTACTAACATATCTAGTAAAAGGAAGAGAGGCATAGCGTTACTGCTCTGTGATTTTTTGGAAGAGTTACCTTCAGGGGCTCTGACAAAAATTCATATACTTATTAAGCATAATGTAATCGCCAGGACTCATGACAACGGAATATATTTTTAAAATTCTGTAAGCAGATTTTCTTTCAAGTAGATATTAAAATACTGGAACTGTCAGACCAGATCGAATCATTTGCCTGTTTAGGCCCACAGTAGGTTCCAAACAAAGGCTGATACCATGTTGTACAGGCGAAGTTACACAAAATCCATGAACGCACATGCGTTCTGCCACACATACCCATAAAGTACTGAGTTTGAGCAGGGGTATGAAGCAAACGACCTTCAGCAGTCTTGTCCAACCTAAATTATTCCATAATTTTATGAAACAAAAATACGTGGGACCTGAGAAAAATCCCATTGGAACCCATAGAAAAATACCTCTCAGAAAAAACTGGGAGCTTAAATAGCGCCTTGAGGGTAGTATCTTTTCTAAAATTGTTACAGATTATTTTATTTTTATAAATCCATAATCATCTTCAGAATCACGCTAAACTTCTGCTCTCCATGATATTCTGGAAAATGCATTCAACAGGTTCCAAAGCATATGAAACATTATTTAATTTTGAATTAAGTTTTGAGGGTTTTTTGGTTTTTGTGTTTTAAAACATCTGAAAATTTGTCTTCTATTCCGGGAAACTGTAAATGAAAGCAAGTATCTAAATATCTGTATAACCATTGCACAGCTCTCTCTCGCATCTCTCCTTATTCTCTTAAGGATCACATTTCCAAAATCTCTTCAATCAGTCCTTACTCATGATTAACAGTTTTTGGACAGTCATCTTGGGAGTTAATAGATATACGCACGCATCATGCATGTGTTGTGCCCTCGTGTGTGAGTATTTGCTCTGATTTGATTCAAAAATAACTTTACTTCCCCTTCGATTTTGCTGCGAAAACCTCTGAAGGTTGGTTACATCAGAACCAAGTCCATTACTCACTCATCACTACACCAAAATGAGCCTCGATACTACCAACACTACCCTCCCACCCAAATTACATAGCATACTCATCAAGTAATTAACCAATGACTCTGAAGGTCACAAGTGTCAGAAAGCATTTTCAAATGACCCCCTTGGAGCACTGATCATCAGCTTAGGCCTTCCAGTGCAGCACTGGTACAGGGGGGATATATGTCCATGCATCTGTATGTTAAGATTTTTGTTAAGATTGAGTAAGACTGTCTGTTAAAACTTTATATATCCTGCTCTTTTGCTACTTAACAGGTTCATTCTCAAATGAGCTGTCAGATAGGACTAAATAACGCTAAACTGCTTAACCCAATCAGCAGCCTTTAAAAGGTTTTTCTCTCTCCTTCCCCCGCTCTCCCCTCCCCAAAAGTAATAATGCCACATACGTTTTAAAGGGAACAAAAGAGATCTTTAGAGTACAATATAAAGGACTGAAGGCATGCTGAGTTTTTGGTCATTAGCATGATCAATTAGCACTATTCTGATCAAACCCTGCATTATTTACCCTGTAGGAGTCCTGATAACAGCACGCCCTGCAGATGGGATGATATCTCCAGTCAGCATCTTAAATGTTGTGCTTTTCCCAGCTCCATTTGTTCCCAGGAGTCCAAAGCACTAACCAGGAACATAAAAAAAAGGAACAAAAGTGAAAAACTGCTATCAATTTGCTACTCTGAAGGAAATATAAGCAATATTGATCCTTCAAAAGTTTCTTCCCTTTTCATATCTATCCTATGTCTGTAAGACACTGTATACGGATAAACGTATTAGCAAACGTACACTCCCTTCCCTTTCCCACAGAAAATAAATTTTCCAAAAGATTAAAAAATATATATATAAAATATTGTGAGTACTTCCTACATTTCTAAAAGTGACTCAGCGATCTATTCCTCCACTTTAAATCCTATCCAGTAACTAAATGCGTGAGTTACCATTATTAGTAGCATCTGCAGGATTTGAACCAGAGGATCTCACATCCTATTTTAGAGCTCTGGCCAGCAATCTAAAGTGTCAATATTTCTCAGTTTCTCATAAGCTGCTTCTCTTTGTACAAGTCAATGAACACTGAACAGTCAAGACAGACATGGACTCCGTATGACTATTTCAAGCCTCTAGATGTGATCAACTGCGACACATGCTTAAGCTGAGACAGGACTTATATTTTAAAAGATGAATATTATAAAAATTATGAAGTACTATTTACAGTCTTAATACTTGTTTTATGAACTTTCTAACTGATAAGTAGGTTTTAATCAGCAGTAACATCCTCCAGGTTACCCCAGTTACCCAACAGCAAATCTACAACTGGATATAAACCTTCAGTGTTTTAGTTTTTCTTCCCGTTTGCTATCAGCAACCAAGAAAGTGTGCTTCCTTTCCCTATCAATATTTTTGAAACGAAAATCTGCGCTCCCCAAAAGCATTGTCAGAAAAATCCTCCACTGTTATGAAACTGAAAAAGGGAAAAAAAAAAATCAAATAAATGCTGTACTGATATCTTAGAGACTACCTTAGTCACTGTTAGATTTAGGCTTATTAAAATGGCATATTAGTATATGATATATTTAAACATACTGGAATGATTTCAGTAGGGCAATACAAGATTGCCTTGGGGATAAATTCAGGATTCAGTTCACAGTTTGCAATTGAGCTAGATATTCTGAGCTTACTCTTTCGGCATTGAACCGCTATGCTACCTATTTGTTTTTTTATGTTATCTCATAAAACACTAACTTCGTAAAGATAAACAAGAAGAAAAAATTAAGACTCATACACCAGAACAGTCATAAACCAAAATATAAATGTATCAGTCACTGAACAGTTGCTTCTTAAATATCATCACAGCTTCTACTCCTATCCAGCTATTGATTTTCAGAAATTATCACAACTGAAAGTGTTCTGGTATCTACAGTGCTTTGATTGCAGACATTCTGAAAAAATCTGAACAATTGTTCAAGGAGAAGAAAAAGGTACCTCTTTACCTCTCCCCTAGGTATTCCCAAGCTTATGTTTTCCACAGCTGCGTTCTTCTTACTGAAACCTCCATAACACTTCCTGAGGTTGTACAGAAGGAGGATATCATTACTAGTTCTTCCACCAAAGAGTCGTTGTCGCTCCATTTCTACATCAGTATCTTCTGAAGTGTTGACCATGCTGCTAACTGAACACTGACCCCTAAAATAGAAGATTACAACAAATGCCCTGTGGAAAATTGGACATTGATGTACTCTGGATAACTGTTGCATTTCCCTGATGGTGATTCCTTAAAGCTTAGTGATCAAATCTCAGCAGAATCCAAGGGAAACAACCACAAGCATTTTTTTCTTCAGTTTCGACTAACTCACAAGCCACATTCATATTTCTTTTCTCCCCTAAAATGCAACTATGTTCCTCGTAACAAATAGGAATGGAAACCTTGGACTGACATAAAAACTCCACATTAAAGCAGTTCTTAAGTCGGAAACGAAATAATGAAACGGGGAAATTCTTTCAGAATGGAAGCATGGGAGCATACAACCATTTGGATGAAGTGACTTAGAAACAAACAAAACACCTAAATGAACTGATATAAGCCCATAATAAAATCTTCTTAAGAAACAATCCCTATCTTCTCTTGCAATATAAGTATGTGCAAAAGGGGAAATACATAAGTAAAACAGGTATCAACACAGAAAAACACTCTGGCCCATTTTCAACACCAAAGTATAACTAAAGCCCTGATGCCAAGCTTCCCAAAAAACTTTCTGCTAGAAAAGTTGCAAGCATAAAGTAGTATCTCCATAAAATTTGCAACAAGTTCCTGTGGAAAATAGGCACACAGGATTCAATTCAGTTGCCTAAATGTCGGCAATCAGTGCCACTTAGGAGTATCTAAGGCACCCAAAGCATCCTCAAAGGGCCGTCAGCAGAAGTGACACAGGACAAACCCTTCTGAACTGAGAGCTGGGGGCCAGGGTACCTCAGCACATCTCAAGTGGCACCAGATACTTAGGTTTAGCCAACATCATCCTGCCTAAATGAAGAGTATAAATCCTATACAAGCTATATTCAGTTAAGAAAAGCACACCTTTGAACAAAGCATAGACTTAGAACACGTGTTCCTTCTCTTCTGGTCAAAACCATCATTACACAGGGTGAACAGTCCCATGCTGGTCCGTGTTTTATAAACTCATATATACAACAGACGTACCAGACTCTTTGTACAATGAGCTCATTGTATCACGATGCTGCCCGTGATCCCATAAAAAAGAGCATATAGCACAGCTTCTCTGATGGCTTCTGGAGTACTGTGCTTTCCAGCCCTTCTCCTTCTACCTGGTCCTAATGCATGCTTGTCATATCAAGGGATATTCAGGCTGTTTCTGTTCAGATGACCAAGCGTACATATACAGTCCTTTTATATGCCTGGAAGCATAATTATCAGATGTTTGGAGGCACCTGTTTTTAGTCATGTTACAGGTGTACCTACAGAAATGTTATAAAGAAAACACCTGAGGTCCCTCTGGAAAAACGGCACCAAAGAGTGAGGCAGCAGATATTTTTTCTGCCAGACTGGGTGAGGCATGGAGGTTACCAGCCAGACTACACTGGAAAAAAAGGTAGTGAAGAGGAAAGCTTTCCTGGACAGCACATCTTTTGGGGTCAAAAATAAAAATTAAAGAAAGAAAATATAAAACACAATTACATTAGAAACATTTCCTTTTTGATGAGACCACTGAACATACATTCGAGCTGAATAACTTCATAGAAAATTGCACAGTTTAAAAGTTAATCAAATAACTTCCCTTTCTTCCTCCTAACCCCTATCTTTTGAAGTGCTCTTTCTATGAATACATGACCGAGAAATAGAAAGTTACCACATAACCTCGTTAGAGGATCAAAGGATTCCATCGTGAGCAAGTGTCCACTGTCGCAGAATACAAAGGACAATATACTACACACCTTGTTTTCCGAAGGAGATCCCAGTGAAGAAAAATCCGTAAAAGAAGAAGAACTGTTCCTTGTAGGGCCATTTCCACAAAAATCCACCCAAGGAAGTTCATCTCAAAAGGGCTCACATAAGAATCTATTCCAAAGCTGCTGGTCAGGTCAAACTTGATCTGATTGTACGAAAGTTCTATCAAACCTTGCCCTAAGCAGAATTGCGGGAATATTATAAACGCCCATTTGAGGATTTCGTAGATGTTCTGAAAACTCTATATTAAGATTCAGCAGCCAAAAGAAAAAAAAAAAAGGAAAGAAAAAGGAACAAAAAGTGAGTTTTCTCCAACAGTACATTAAGCACTTATAAAGCTAGATACAGCATTTGAATCTTATTTAAGGTGAACTATAAATGCACTGATTTCAGTAGAGCACATTGTGAAATATTTTGGGACAGGGATCATCTCTTATTGTATTTTTACAACAATTTTTTAAATCATTTTGAGTGCCTAGAGCCACAGGATCCTGATTTTAGTTGAGATTCACAGTGACATAATAGATACCCAGTTTATTTCAGCTACTAAATGGCAGTTACACCTAATACATAAAATGGTAAATATGTTTTCCAGTGTAGTTAGTGTGTAAAAGATGGTGTCAGAGGGAAAACAAGCAATGTAAGTGGTTTTATGTTCAGGACCTGGAAGTAGGTTAGATGTAACCAGAACACCTGTGTTCAGTCTTGTGTCTATTCCCTGTCACAGGACCAGGAATATTGCCAACACACTAGGCAATGCTGATGTGAAGCAGGAGAAACTACACTACTCCTCTGCTAACCAGTAAATTGGTATCTGACAGGAATTATGTTGTACTCCACCATATAATACGAATTGCAATAGGGAAGTAAAATAGAATGAGCAGAGCCAAGTATTTGTTACTCTGCTTTCAAATTTTAATAATTGGATGTTATTGACTTCAAATCACAATCTTAAACCCAACTCAGCCTGAAATCTGCATCCAAAGTTGAGTGACACATAGTCCAGACTTGGCTTCAAATAAAGTTTTTGACCTGGAATATGCATAAATATACAAACATACATGGTCTGAATCTCTTCACCGTCAGCTTGCTTAATTGCCATTATGAATAATGGTAATTATGGACATGGAGTGAGAATGCATATTACTATTTATACAGTGCATCACAGATCCTAGGAATAAGTGGCTTATCTCTTATGTCAATATTATTCAAACACGCTTCACAATGCATATAATCTATTCAATGGACCGGAACAGCTTCCATTATGTGCAAATTACAACTTAATGGTCTGGAAAAGTGTCGAGGTTTCAATTAAAGCTGCTTTTCCATTAATAGAGTTCAACTTTTTTTTTTTTTGGTGCTATAAACAACTTCAGATACTAGACACAAACATGCTAACAAGCAATACAGTAAACACAGGGACAGAAAAATCATGAATGTTTAAAACACGAGTTCTTCAGTTGAAAAAAGTCTTATTTGTGTGTATGTGTATATATAGATACACACATGCACACACATATGCATGTCTGTGTGCGCACACGTATGTGTATATACCTCTCACAACTAACAAAGTTTCATACTGACCTGCACTTTAGAAATTATAGCTAACAAACGAGGTAAGAGAGTCACCAGCATGGTGCAAAGGCCGAACACAAAATTTAAGGAGATGTAAGAAATAAAAGCTACATCTGAACTTGAGAAGAATCTGGATACAAGATACATCCACGGTAAAGTTGCGTATCTGAAACAAATTAAGACAAACACAAAACAAACTTATCACAAATAATTATGTTTTGGCCTCAAAAAAGCACAAGACCCCTGTCCCCCAACACATCCTGACAGTTACCATAATACAAACAACAATATTTTTTAAGATACGCGAGCCTTTCCACCAGCTGAGAAGGGAGGACATATTTGCAATATATTTGCTTGACCGGCTTACCTTCTTATTCAGTAGATGTATACTTATGAGCTGCCATATGATGGGCAGGCAAGATCTATTTTTATGAACTGCACATTTTTACTTTCGCTGTTCCAGAAAGCACACAACCCTAATTTCTAAACAATCACAAAACCATGTAACTTTCAACAACCCATCTTACACAAAGACATAGTTAAAACCATAGATGCTCAGCAATCATTTGTTCCTACAGGCTTTCATAGGAGGAAAAAAAAAAAAGAAAAATATAAATCCTTGAACTACTAGTAGTGCCAGTAATACCTGAGAACTAAAATATGCCAGAGAAATCATCTTTGCATTATTAATTACCAAAGCAGGTTACCACTTAGTAGGGTGCTAGCCATAAACAAGTGAATCCATAGTTACCACACAGCACAATAGTAGTATGACAGCAGGTTCCTGGCTAGGCCATTTCTACCCAAATGTTTAAAGGAGTAGGGACGTAATCCTGAGCTCAGTCACATCAGCTGATGCCCATCCAAAATGGAAAAGTCATATTTTGCAGTAGAACAGTGAGACAGTCCATCTGAACTAAAAAATGCCCCTGACAATTAGATGAGTATGAATGCCTCAAAAAAGAAATTCATTTTTCATCCAATATATTGCCAGACATACCTAACAGAAAACGAACAACATATAGACTGCAAGGAGCACAGGTGTCAGCATATACTAATGCATGACCATAAATATTTATGTAGTATATTTATATTTTTATATAATGCTAATATATGTATATGTAATTATTTTAATAGTAAGCTCAATGCCATAGCGACTAGCCAAAAATCTGTGACTTCACTTCTTCAGTGCATTAGACAGTAGTTTACACTATGAGCCATAAAAGTTCCTTTTAAGCTCAGTACTTTACTTTGTACTTTATAAACCTTTTCGTCTGAGAAAGCCAAAACGCTTTACCTGAGGAAACGAACTTTCCAATCCTGCTGTGAAGTAATAGTGATGTTATCCTCAGTTTTCAGCAACATAAAGGTTGAATGATTTGGTTAGGGTCTCAAAGGAAGATTGTAATAGTGTTCAAGATAACGTGTAATAGTGTTCAAGATAACGTGTAATATTTTTTAACATCCTCTTGACAGTCTTAATCACACAATCTTTTCTGCTCTTCATACACATACTGAAATCACAGTTCTAAATTTTGCTCTGAATTACAGCAGTGTAAGTACAAGATAAGCCCACCTTTGGAAAAAGTGCTCGGGAAAGAGATATGATTCAAAGTGCTGTTACTCCAGTACAAATGAAAAGGACATTTAACTTGCTCGCTTACAGCTACTAAGTGAGTAAGAATTTCCAAACACATAGCACTAAAGTTATATGATGTTCAAACACAGACTCATAAGCATCTGCCAGTCATGCCTACATTCCTATGCTAACTCTTTCTTCCTGACTGCAAAAGTCAGCTTCAACTTCAGCTGCAATTTGTTATTTTGTGAGCAACAAAGATAAAGTATTTTGGACAAAAGTGCTTAAAATGTAGCATTATAAAACACTTCTGCTACTACTAAAAGGAAAAGAAATGTAGCTTAGTTATGAGATCATAATATTTTTAAAGCCCTAGTAAATATGATTTAGAGTAGTACAATAGGAACTTGTTGATTACTCCTTCAAGCACATGCCCTTCTGGCATATAGTTCAACTTTTTTCATGTAATTGGGCTATTTCTGCCTTTATTCTAGGTCAGAAAAGCTGTACAAGTCTACCTTAAAGAGAAAAATGCAATTTTAAGATAAAAGAAACGCATTATGGAATGCAGATAAGTGAGAATTAAATACACAATGCGCGAGGCAAGGGGGGGATGACATGACCACAACATGCTTCATCGCATTTATTGTTCAGTTAGGGTGAGCAACAGGTAGAACAGGCAGAGTGGCAACTCTGAAGCTGATGATATGGAGTGTCCTCAAGAGGTGTTGCTTGGCCTAGCAAAAGAAGTTTGACGGAGGAGAAGTACGAAGCAGGGCTCCAAAAAAACTTAGGCAAGAAGGTAATAGAATGCATCCAGCTATTGAGATTCTGAAGCAGTTTTCCAGAAGGAGTTGCTAGAGGTATGAAATCTTGAAGCTAGTTTCAAGATGAAAACGGTTAAGTTTTTAAAAGTATTTATCTGAGATTCTTCGTTGGATGGGACATGCTCTGACGTTACAGAAGGTCCCTTTCTATTCTTTTTCCCTGTGATTCTCTAATGAGTACAGTTATATTTCACTATCTAAGCATCTGCCGCTGAGGATGTGCAATCCCACCTATGCAGACAGCAAACAATAGTTGCTTGAGATAAGGAAGAGAATTCTTTAGAATGCTTATCCCTTTATTATTCATCTTCAGCATGTCTCATCCCTCACGTGGGACTGCACACGGTAAGATCATTAGTTTGACTGAGCACAGTATATTCATTATACAGAGACACAAGACCTCTGTTTAACAAGTTATTTTAATTGTTTATAACTTTTTTCATGGGAAACTGAAATGAGAGGGTGAGATGGGAGGACTTATCCTATCTCACAGTATCATTTGAAGACAATTCTTCAGCCAGTCCAGAGCTCCAGGATGGCCAGCCTCCATAATGGAAATATAAGTTTCTGGAGCTCTGTCAAATTACAGAACGTGGGTAGACTAATAAGACAGTCTCTTCTTCACTTCTTGATGACATTATCCGCAGCTAACCACTGAAATCCTGGCCTGACTGTGCTATTATTTTATTATCTTTCCGGAAGATAACATACAATCAATTTCTAACAGTAAATGATTGTTACACAGGCTGAGTATTTTCTTGAGACATTTCCAGTACTTTGCTTATAAGCCTCCCTCCCCTATCCCTGCGGATCTTTCAGCCTCTGTTTCAGCTTGTTTTCTCACTATCTTTTGCTGAATCATAATCATTTCCAGAGACAGAAAATCATGCATCCAGCAGTGGGTGCAAACCAAGCCTAAAGATTTTTGTTTGTCTCTTACAAGTCATAATTCCATAGTAGCATTTCCAATCACATACCCAAAGAGTATCAGCAGGAGAACAGTGGCTGCCAAGTTCTCTCGGAAAGTGAAGGCTGATAGCTGGAAGGCGGTAATAACGCCAACACACAGGGTGACTGGGACCATGTAAAACAGCTAGAAACACAAGAAAAAAGGGCACTTAGCAGGTGAGCATCACTTATTGGTCTTACTCTATTAGCATAGAATGGCTTTACAATTTAATGTTCCCTATGCATTACGAAAAAATTAGGCACAATAGCTCTGAGATTTCATAGTGGCTGTGAAACTGCCCCTCTTACACACAGATATATGCATGTAACTGACCCTGACAAAATAAAATCCCAGTGCAGAATATTTTTCTCAGTTCCATTTCTATTGACCTTTCCAATACACCCATTTAACAAGCTAACTCTTCCAGATAATGGGTCCATATGGGACTATCACTCCAAAGCCCCAAATTATACTGTGAATACACAGGCTAGGACCCAGAAGCAGCGGTTTCACTGACTTGTGCTTCACAGGAGAATACTAAGAATACAATTTCAAAAGAGACTTTAGTGAAGGACAGTGCATGCAGATGAAGCAAATGACAACTTCTAATAGGAACAGACAGTATTTAGAAGAGACATAGCCACTAGGCAACAGGATTAATATTTGATAAATAGTCTCTCAATATAACGTTAACAAAACACTTAGAAGCAGGGGATGAGATTGGCATAGGGGATTCATATCGAAGCGCTCAAGACAGCTGGGTTCTGCTCTCATCTAACAACAGCATGATGTGAAAAGACCTGCTCTCGGTTCCCTTCTTACTATTTGCTCTGTGCATTAAAACTGAACTCTGTAGGGCAAGGACTGCCTCCGTTTCTGTGTGTTATGCAACATCTAACCTTCTCCTAATATAGCTGAGATTCTGAGATGCAACTGCAATAAAAGTAACACATGATTATTAATCAAGGTCTGTCTAAATATTCAGAGTATAAACAACAGTGTTCTAATTGTTAAAATCAGACTTTCACACTGAAGTACAATGCAAATTGCCTCAGACTTAAACCAGAGGGCATCACTTCTTTGCCAATACGAAAACAGTCATTTTTTAAGTGTTAAGAGAAGAACAATGGAGCAAAATGTAGAGACAAATGTAATATTCTGATCTTGTTCACAGTCTACCTTATTCAGTGCCATATACAAATATCATACCACAGCATTCCACAGATTTAGATTTCAGTTATTCTAGAGCTTTTTAAAACATACCCTGGAGGAGGCACAAAACATCTAAGTCCTGATATGTTTCCACAGACCTGAGACTTTTTTCTAAAAATAAATAAGTTTTAGCATTAAATTCTGTTACTGTTCTGTTAGGTAAGATTTTTATGCTATAAAAGTTTGGGATGCACGAAGTAGAAATGCCTACATAAAACCTTAATTTTGCCCCTACAGTGACACACAATTAATCTATACAAAGCATCTTTATCATTAAATTTAGACATTTTTCATTTGAGGAATATACTAACAAACACAATCCACATGCATAAATACACCAAGAACAGCCAGATTCTCAAGACAGTAGTTTCATAAATCTAATATATTTTCAGTCTAGTAAAGATAACATTAGAAATAATACCAGACACAACCTGTAACACTTAATGCGTGGAGGGAGTTCAAATTTAACAGTTTCTATATTCATGTGTTCAGTGTCCCTAAGGGATCTGCAGCACAATTGGCATTTAAAGCAGTGTCTGTTCTTTCTCAGATCGTGATTGATCATGCAGTACAATGCTGAATTTGTGAAAATGTTTTGAAAGGAAGAGATTGACAACAAATAACAAGGAGTTGACTTTGCTGCACAAGGAGAAGCTGTATGATGAAGGACTAAGTTCTTACCAAAGCCTGCTGGAACAGCAGCAAAGGGAATACAAATACTGACTACCTACATAAATAACTTCTGGATAACTGTTCTCTTACTTCAAGCTTCCTCAAGTGTAAAAATCCTGATTTCAAGCATGGATGGGTGAAGCTCTAATGTTTCAGATTTAGGATAATTTGAATGAGAATAGAGCGTTGTGAAAACCTCTGCTCTTGACCAGGAATTTCATCTAGCCCTTTGTACTGCCTATGCTAGAGCCCAGTCTAGCATGCAAACAAGGTGCAGAAGATTTATGTCCCTCCCCTTTTGTATAATTTTGAAATAACCAATTGACTCCATTTGTTGACTACTGCCTCCGACATCAACCTCCCAAGCCAAAACAGAGTCTTCTTGGAATGTTCCTACTAAAAACAGTTACTACGTGAACTACCAGCATGCAGAACCTGAGTTCTCTCAGAAGAGGAACTTTACACCTTTCCAGAAGTAGATGGCCTAACTCAAATTTCCTGCAAACACTCGCATTGATATAGCAAGCCTGATCACAAGTGAATTATGCAAAAGCCTGTCAGAAAGGGACATATGCATGCACTTTATTTATATATTGTAGAGAAAGTCTGCAGTTTGGCTTTTAAAGAACCATGTTTGCAAAAGCTATTAGAAGAAAGTTCATGAAATCTATGTGTAATGGGAGCCCTTTGGATCTATTCATACAGCTGATGAAAAATCTGCAACTGGCAACTAAGTAGCTGTGAACTGAGAAAGCTGATTCTACTTCCCCTTCTTTGCTTATCGGCCTGAATGGAGAATAATTTCTCAGCTTTGAAGCAAGCAAGCAAAAATCCTACTTCAGTAATCATTTAAATAGGATGGCTAATCATATTAGCCATCTAATGCCAGTTAGTTCTAACTCGCATTTGTGTGTTTGCATTTGGTTAAAAGGGTGAGTAAGGTTTAGGGAAAAATAACATTTTTCCTGGTATTTTCAAAGGAAGAGAAGATTTTCAGGTTTTTCTATTTGTTAGTGAAGGGTATACAGACAATACTATTTTGTAATGCCAATACTGATAGAAATTACTTTGAGAAAAATAATTTTTCATGACAGACTTTGTCCATTTCCGAGTTAGGGCATTCTGTAAATATGAATTCATAAATACTATGTTCCACTGTCTTGCTAAAAATAGGAAGTACCAGCTATGAGTGCATCTCATATCATCCACCAACAGACCAACAGTCTTTAAAGCAGCTGACAAGCATCTACAGGCTTCTTTCATAATCTGAGAGGCTTCACCAATAGCAAGTCAAAACATTGAAACTCCTGCTATGAACTGCTATGTGGAAGATCTCTCCCTGGGGTGATTAGTCAGCTTCCTTTTTGTTGTAAAACAGTGGAAGTGATTAAAGCTAGCATACACTTTTCTGTCTTACCACTCAGCTTTGGAAAACTGGAAACAA